GATAGTGTGTCAGGTTGTTTATAGAGTTGTTTTTATTCCTGATCCTTGGAAAAATGCTTATTTACTGTCCCTGTAACCTTCTGTCACAAAATAGTGAATTATTTTTAAATGCTTCCTTCCTCTTTTAAAGAGTTGCAGGACACAAGCTAGTGCAGAATTCCTGCCTGCTCTTTATATTGTCATTAAAAATAATGGTAATAGAAGGCTCTTAATTTAAGACCATCACTCTGTGGGGGATATAGAAGGGAGAGCCAAGATAGTCTAGTAAACATTCCTTGCTAAACTTCCCAGAACATCCTGAACTGAGTGCAGAGGAGTAAATGACAGAGGAAAACAGTGCCTGTGCTTTTACTAGCCAAATATTTGTACTGCCCATGTGTTCACCAGCCTTATCATGTGCACCATGCTCAAAGGAAAAATACAGGATGTCCTTATTTACTATTTACCAGAGAAAAAACATAGTGAAAGAAAACTGCAGAGGAATATAGACAACTGGAGCAAAGGAGAATTGGTAAAGGAGCGTGAAATAAGCTTATCTGGAGCCATGTGCTGGAAAAATGTGGATCACTGTAGTATTGTGCTGGTCTGTTATCCATACTGTGCTCTAACACAAAGAGTATGTTGCTGTTCCTGGGCTGTAGTGGAGCTACATTGTTCAAGGAATTGCATTTAAAAGAAATAATCTGGGAGAAGGAAAGAGATGATATCCACATAGAAATGGTGCAAAGCAGGGAACTCTGAACCCTGAGCTCTGAGAGTCTCATAGTTTACTCATAGCTTCCAGACTGCAGTCTGACTTTGCACAAAATGTTGGGTGTCAAGCATATTCAGATTCACCCATACAAACTTCAAGGGTAATTTGACTGAACCCCTCTGTACATGTATGAACACATAGCATGAGGTTAAACCTGTAACTTCATCCACATAGTGAAGCAAAGCCTTCTGATAAAGACAGGCTAATGTTTGTGAGTGCTAAAGAGAACAGTGCATGTTTCTGGGAATGAAGTAGAGTAATTCCCCAAACTAATAATAAATAGTAAATAATAATAAAAAATATGTATTGATCTCAATTTCTTTTCATAAGACGACTGTGAACTCAAAATAGAATTTCTCTGTTATTCGATGATGATAAAAATAACTCTGGCTCCCTTGTTTAAAAATAAATGTTTTGCTTGTCTTGTAGTCCTGTGAAAATCTCATTCAATCTGTAGTGGAAGCCCAGCTGGTTAACTAGTAGAAGGAAAAGCAAAGTGACATAAAATACTTTAAACCAAGGAATTTAGACCAACATATTTTCTGCCAGAATACTGGTTCTTGAATTTTAAATCTAGAAAGAATATAAAGGTTAACTGGTCAGATGCTGTATGCAACAGTCAGTTCAGCAATCTGCTGGTAAAATTCCCCAGAGGCTGCATATTACACTGGATGTCTTTTCTAGAAGGAAGTTCCTGAATTTCCAGGCTTTGATCTGATGGAGAAATTTTTGTGGTCCATGGTAATGTGTTACAGTTGTTAATTACTCTAGCTACTAAAAACATACAAGTTATTTCTAGTCTGAGCTCTGATTTACAACAGCCAGCAAATGTCTCCAATGGATTTAGAAGCCTTAAGGAACTAATTTTTCTGTTAGTCATCCTGCAACCACACTGGGTAAATATTATTCCACATAAAGTGTGATTGCAGTTAACTCTCTGACTGCATTTAACTCCTAAACTTCATGCAGCTCCACAGCTCATGTGGCTGGATCAGGTGGTAGAGAGGGATATAGAAGAGTGAGAAAGAATCTTGGCACAGAGAAATGCCGAATTTCCACTCTTTGGAGGTCCCATGTGGTAGCAACAATGGTCTTAGCAGCAGGAAGCAGCTGCCATGTATGACTCTCAAAATAAATCTTGATGTGGTGCTGTGCAGCCAAAAGGCATCTTCTCTGCCATCATGAGCAGTCTGTGCCTGCAGGACAATGGTCTCGACACAGCCTCCAAATGATGTCCTGGAAAGGAGCTTCCATTTCTTATGCAGGTAAAATTCCTCCTGTCTTCCAGAAGGATTTAATTGAGTAACTTATGGACAGGGTATACTATGACATGTAAATCTGCCAGTATGGGCTGCGTGTGCAGTAAGGGTAGAAGATCTTGGAATGGTTTAGGTTGGAAGGGACCTTAAAGCTCATCCAGTCCCAACCCCTGCCACGGGCAGGGACACCTTCCACTAGAGCAGCTTGCTCCAAGCCCCATCCAACCTGGCCTTGAACACTGCCAAGGATGAGGCAGCCACAGCTTCTCTGGGCAACCTGTGTCAGCGCCTCAGCACCCTCACAGGGAAGAGCTTTTTTCTAATGTCTAATCTCAATCTCACCTCTGGCAGGTTAAAACCATTCAACCTTGTCCTGTCCTACCTGCCCTTGTCAAAAGCCCCTCTCCAGCTTTCTCATCAGACCTGGGAGCTGCCCAAAGTTCTCTCCTTAAGGAGCCTTCTCTTCTCCAGGCTGTACAAGCCCAGCTCTCTCAACCTGCCTCCGTAGCAGAGGTGCTCCAGCCCTCCTGTCATGCAGTTATCATGGAGTGATGCGTTCCACTAAACTCATGTCTAAATACAAATTGGAGCTGATGTATTGCTATAGAAAAGTTGTGGCTGCTTAGAATGATCTGGTGTCCCCTGTGCTAAAGTCCATCACCAGAAGTCAGGCCTTTCTCTGCAAAATGAAGCCACCCAAGTGCCCCAGGGTAAAATGTGAACTAGGTAAAGGTGGTGATGAAAGGTGGGTATTTTGTCTTTTGAGGTTTTGGGAGTGTTTTGGTTTGTTTTGTTTTTGTTTTGTTGGGATTTTGTTCATTGGTTGCTCTTTGCTGTTGTGTTTGCTAGGCCACTGCAGAAGGCTTCGGTCTCCTTTCCCACAGTATAAACGATGAGAACAGGTACGTCCAGCTAAATAGTGGCAAAGAACCACCAAGAGCCACAACATCTTGACTCACTCGAACATTTGCCATGGGGACACTGGTCGATGATTGCAGATGGGTGTTTTGCACAAAGATGATGTGGGAACTGCTAAAGCATCTCCTGCAGAGACCTTTCCCAGCAGACAGCTTCTGAACTTTATTCCTCACCTTATCACTATTTATTGCAACTAGGAGGAAGCTGAATGCTTTCAACTGAGCACTCTCCAGCTTCCTTCAAAAATCAGAATTACTTGAAATCATAGTGTTTGGTGGTTACTCTTGACAAGCTCCAAACACAGTTAATGTTTCAAAATGCCATAAAGAGTTTTATGTACATCCTAACAGTGCTACAACCACTATAAGCAAAATGTTGGATTTATGAAAATGATGGTGTGATTTAAAAACTAGCTGTTTTTTTTTTTTGCTTTGGAACAAGGTTTGAAACGCAACATTTCCCTTTGCATGGGAATCTGTTCACATTGCACCTAAATTCAAAGGAATAGTGAATTCAGCTGAAATATTTGCCTGGTTATACGAAGGAAAACAAGTCTTGTAGATGGCATCAGCTATACTGAGCACCTTTGTTAAAGAAATAACCTAACTTATATTAATGTAATTATTAAATATTTGAGGGTGCTAAGGCGCTGGCACAGGGTGCCCAGAGAAGCTGTGGCTGCCTGTCCTGTGTTCAGCAGTAGCAGTCATTTTTTTTCTCCTTCTTGGTAGCTGGTGCAGCACTGTGTTTTTGACTTTCAGCCTGGGAACAGTGCTGATAACACCAATGTTTTTAGTTACTGCTCAAATGTTTGGTCTGGCCAAGGACTTTGTGAGCCTCATGCTCTGCCAGGGAGGAGGGGAAGCCAGGAGGAAGCAGACAGGACACCTGACCCAAACTGACCAAAGAGGTATTCCATAGCACAGCACGTCATGCCCAGGAGGTAACTGGGAGTTACCCAGAAGGGCTGGGACTGCGGGGTTGGGCTACGTGTCAGTTGGTGCTCGGTGGGGCTGGAGGGGTCGAGCTATCGGTCGGCGGCTGGTGAGGTGCTGTATTCTCTTCCCTTGTTATTTCCCTTATCGTTACTGGTGGCAGCAGCAGTGATTTGTTATACCTTAGTTACTGGACTGCTCTTATCTCAACCCGTGGGAGTTGCATTCTTTTGATTCTCCTCCCCATCCCTCCGGGAGTGGGGGAAGGGAAGGAAAAGGGGGGGAGTGAGGGAGCGACTGCATGATGCATGGCTGACTGGGTTTAAACCACGACACTGACCCATCCCTGGCAGTGTTCGAGGCCAGGTTGGACACAGGGGCTTGGAGCCACCTGCCCTAGCGGAAGGTGTCCCTGCCCGTGGCAGGGGTTGGGACTGGGTGAGCTTTAAGTCCCTTTCCAACCCAAACCACTGCCGCTCACACACGTTCCAGAGCCTCCACCACAGGACCCCCCCTCCCCGCTCCCGTTGCCGCGCGGTGCACGCCGGGAGCTCAGTCCATTTCCCGCCCCTCGGTCAGATCCCGCCGCCGCCATCGGACTGCGGCTCCCGGCGTGCCCCGCGCGGGACGCGCCTGCGCGGCCGGGGCTCCTCGGACAAAAACCTCCCCCTCCGGCTGCGTTCCCCTCACCGGAGCGGCGCTGGGCTCAGCCCCCGACCGTGAGGGAGAAGAGCAGGGCCGTGTGGCGGCCGGACCCATCGCCGCCGCTGAGAGCCCGCGGGGAAACCGCCTCCCAGGAGGACTTGGGAGCCCGGCGGTGGGTGAGTGGGAGGGCGGGACCGGGCCCCGCCGGTACCAGGCGGGAGGGGAACGGCACCGTTATACCGCGGGTCGCTGAGGGAAGGCCTCCCCCTCCCTCAGCGCGGTGGGGCCGCATCCCCCGTGGGGCTCTGGCTGTGTGGGTGGGAAATGGCGGGGCGCGGTACGCAAAGGGCTCTGTGAGCCCTTCCTCACACCTTCCTGAGGGGTGGCGGTGGGGCCTGCACCGGGACCCCGCACCCTCCCAGGTCGGGAAGCGGCTCGTTGCGCACCGCGGTGCCGGGTACTCCACCAGGGATGGGGTGGGCATGGACCAGGACCGAGCCCCTTGTGTGAGCCGCTGCCCGAGCCCTGGGGTGGGGGTGCCGGGCAGCTCATGTGAGGAGTTCCTGCAGTCGCATGCAGCTCGCAGGAGGATTTTATTGATTCTTTTATGTTGAAACCTAGAGGCCTTTAGGGCTTCTTTTCCCCCCTTCTATATACCAGGCACCCGAGTCTTACCCCATAGGTGGCTGATCTGCACAGAAGCCGCTGTCAAAGGGAGCAGGTTACCTGGGGGGAATCAGAATCAGCTCGGTTGGAAAAGACCTTTAAGACCAGCAAGTCCAAGCTTTACCCCAGCACTGCCAAGGTCACCAGTAAGCCACGTTGCTGAGGGCCTCATCTACACAGTTCGTGAACCCTTCCAGGGATGGTGACTCCCAGGGCAGCCTGTTCCGATGCCTGACCACCCTTTCATTGAAGACGTTTTTCTTAATATCTAGTCTAAGGGGCAGGAGAACTCGGCAGAGATACCCAGAGGGTGCTCCTGCACACTGGCTCCTTGAGGCTGGAGTTCATTCAGGGTGGGTTTTTGTGCAGCAATGTCTGTGTTCCAAAGGACCTGCCTAGCCAGCAGCAGAGAGTTGTTATAGAAGCCTATAAACCTGATGTTTAAGGGAGGTCAGTGTAAAGTCATACACCTGTCTGGATGTGTAACATGATCCGCCTCTCTTGGATTAATGACAGAGTTTTTAGTTATCATGTTTTGGGTATCATCTCTTGTGTTTCTAGTTCTTTAATTGCAGGCTTAGTGTATAAGTTACTTGAGAGAAACATCCACATGGTGACTGTTTAATGAGTGCAACCACCCCCTTGTAAGCTAATTGTGTAGCTAAGGAGTTGTCAGTGCGTGCGAATCTTAGGGTTAAGAGCTTGCAATAAAGAGCAACTCTTAGACTCTGTTTATAAACATGTCTAGGTTTTTTTTCTACTTGCCTAACTTGAACTGTGCAATTAAAATAACCCCTATGAAACTTCTTAAAGGATAAACAAAAGTAAAGGCTTATAAATCCATTAGGTAAATTAGATGATATAAAAGTTTGTCCCCACCATATGGACTGGTAAGAGGCTACAGTCACTTCTTTGTCTTGTCAATCAGCACATAAGAACCTTTTCATAGAAGTTTCATTGAAGCTCGTGTTCCTCTGTGTCCTGGGTTCAGCAGTAGCAGTCATTTTTCTCTTTCTTAGTAGCTGGTGCAGTGCTGTGTTTTTGACTTTCGGCCTGGGAGCAGCGCTGATAACACTGATGTTTTTAGTTGCTGCTAAGTAATGTTTAGTCTGACCAAGGACTTTGTGAGCCTCATGCTCTGCCAGGGAGGAGGGAAAGCCAGGAGGAAGCAGAGACAGGACACCTGACCCAAACTGACCAAAGAAGTATTAAATACCGCAGCATGTCATGTCCAGGGTGTAAAACTGGGAGCAGTGTCCTGGGTTCAGCAGTAGCAGTCATTTTCTCTTTCTTAGTAGCTGGTGCAGTGCTGTGTTTTTGACTTTCAGCCTGGGAACAGCACTGATAACACCAATTGTTTTAGTTGTTGCTAAGTAATGTTTACTCTGACCAAGGACTTTGTGAGTCTCATGCTCTGCCAGGGAGGAGGGGAAGCTGGGAGGAAGCAGAGACAGGACACCTGACCCAAACTAGCCAAAGAGATATTCTATACCACAGCACGTCATGCCCAGGATGTAGAACTGGGGGCAGTTACCCGGAAGGGCTGGATCACTGCTCAGTCAGGCTGGATATCGGTCAGCGGGTGGTGAGGTGTTGTATTCTCTTCCCTTGTTACTTCCTTTATCATTATTGTTATTGGTGGTAGTAGCAGTGGTTTGTGTTATACCTTAGTGTCCTGGGTTCAGCAGTAGCAGTCATGTTTCTCCTTCATGGTAGCTGGTGCAGTGCTGTGTTTTGACTTCCAGCCTGGGAACAGTGTTGGTGATACTGATGTTTTCGGTTGTTGCTAAGTAATGTTTACCCTGACCAAGGACTTTGTGAGGCTCATGCTCTGCCAGGGAGGAGGGGAAGCCGTGAGGAAGCAGAGACGGGGCGCCTGATGCAGGCTAGCCAAAGAGGTATTCCATACCACAGCACGTCATGCCCGGGGTGGGGGGTAACTGGGAGTTACCCAGAAGGACACGGGCTTCTGGGTGGGACTCGTTTCTTGGCTGGTGGTATTGTATTCTCTTCCCTTGTTATTTTCTCTTATCATTGTTGTAGTTGATAGTAGTGGTGGTGATTTGTGTTGTACATTGTTTGCTGGACTGTTCTTGTCTCAGCCCGTGGGAGTTGCACTCTTTCAATCCTCCCCCCCGTTACTCCGGGAGCGGGGAAGGGGAGAGCTCTGGGGGGTGGGGTGGTGGGCCTAGACTGCTTCCAGCCCGGCGCCACTCCCTGGGAGTGAGTGAACAAGCTGTCTGGCTAGGGTTTAAACCACAACAGTTCTTTTGGTGCCCAACGTGGGGCACGAGGGGTTGAGATGAGAACAGTCCAGCAACCAATGTACAACACTGTCCTGGGTTCAGCAGTAGCAGTCACGTTTTTCCTTTGTGTTAGCTGGTGCAGTGCTGTGTTTTGACTTCCAGCCCGGGGACAGTGTTGGTGAAGCCGATGTTTTCGGTTGTTGCTAAGTGATGTTTACCCTGACCAAGGACTTTGTGAGGCTCCTGCTCTGCCAGGGAGGAGGGGAAGCTGTGAGGAAGCAGAGATGGGGCGCCTGACCCGGGCTAGCCAGGGAGGTATTCCATACCACAGCACGTCATGCCCGGGGTGGGGGGTAACTGGGAGTTACCCAGAAGGACACAGGCTTCCGGGTGGGACTCGTTTCTTTTCCCTTGTTATTTTCCCTTATCATTGTTGTAGTTGATAGTAGCGGTGGTGATTTGTGTTGTACATTGTTTGCTGGACTGTTCTTGTCTCAACCTGTGGGAGTTGCACTCTTTCAATCCTTCCCCCCCCCCCCCCCCGTTACTCCGGGAGCGGGGAAGGGGAGAGCCCCGGTGCGGGGGGTGGGGACACGGACCTCGATTGTTGTCAGCTCGGCACCACTCGCTGGGAGTGAGTGAATAAGTTACCTGACTGGGTTTAAACCACGACAAACACAAATCACGCCCGCTACCACCAAGGACAACAATGATAAGAGAAAATAACAAGGGAAGAGAATATGATACCACTGGCCAAGAAACAAGTCCCACCCGGAAGCCTGTGTCCTTCCGGGTAACTCCCAGTTACTGGACTGTTCTTATCTCAACCCGTGGGAGTTAACATTCTTTCAATTCTCCTCCCCATCCCTCCGGGAGCAAGGTTTGGGAGGAAAGCAGGGGGGGAGTGAGCAAGGGCTGTGTGGCTGAGTTGCGAACTGGGCTTAAACCACGACACTCTGTAAGATTGAGTTTGTCATTGTCCTGGTTTTGGCTGTGTCCTGGGTTCAGCAGTAGCAGTCAATTTTTCTCATTGGTAGCTGATGCAGCGCTGTGTTTTGACTTGCAGCCTGGGAACAGCGCTGATAATGCCGATGTTTTCAGTTGTTGCTAAGTAATGTTTGCCCTGACCAAGGACTTTGTGAGGCTCATGCTCTGCTAGGGAGGAGGGGAAGCCGGGAGGAGGCAGAGACAGGCCATGTGACCCAAGCTAGCTAAAGAGGTATTCCATACCACAGCACCTCATGCCCGGTGTGGGGGTAACTGGGAGTTACCCAGAAAGACACAGGGTCTTCTGTGTCGGACTTGTTTCCAGGCAGGTGGTATTGTATTTTCTTCCCTTGTTATTTTCTCTTATCATTGCTGTCGGTGGTGGTAGCGGGGGTGATTTGTGTTGTACATTGTTTGCTGGACTGTTCTTGTCTCAGCCCGTGGGAGTTGCATTCTTTCGATTCTCCTCCCCATCCCTCCAGGAGTGGGGAAGGGGAGAGCTGTGGGGGAGGGGGTGGGGTGGTGGGCCTAGACTGCTTCCAGCCCGGCGCCTCTCACTGGGAGTGAGTGAATGAGCTGTCTGGCTAGGTTTAAACCACGACAGGCTGGGATAGTGTTAATTTTATTCCTAGTAGCTGTCATAGTGCTCTGGTTTGGCTTTAGTCTGAGAACAATGCTGATAAGCAGTGCTTATCCTAATCAAGGACTTTCCAGTCTCTCATGCTCTGCCAGTGAGGAGAAACACAAGAAAGTAGGAGGGATCATAGCCAGGATACCTGACCTGAACTAGACAAAGGGATATTCCATGCTATAGGACATCATGCCCAGTAAGTAAACTGGGGGGAGTTGTCCAGGAGGGCTGATCACTTCCTGAGGATGGGCTGGGCATCAGTCAGCAGGTGGTGAGCAATTGTACTGTGCAGGGCAAAGTTTATTCCTTCATTTCTCTCTCTTTATTTTCTATAGTTATTGTTGTTATATTGTTGTATCTTCAGTTATTGAACTGTTCTTTTCTCAGCCCTTAGGCTTTTACTTTTTTTTTTCTGATTCTCTTCCCTATCCTACTGGGGAATGGGGGAAAGCAAGTGAGCAGCTCTGTGGTACTTAGTTGCCAGCTGGGCTTAAACCATGACAGCAATTTTCTGACAGAAAGTTGCTGACACATTCCCAAACTCTTGCTTATGGGATTGACTTTTATTTCTGGTCTGGGGTCCTGGGTGGAGAGAGACTTCTAATAGGATTGACATAAATGCTTTAATTCTTAGAAGAACATGTGTAATAGATTCCATGAAAATCACTGTTCTGGTTCATTTGGTTAAATACAGTACTAGGAACAAGGGAGAAGATGCAGAATGAATTAAGTGACCAGATAGAGGAGCCTGATTACTGCTGTACAATGATTGGGTAATGAGTTTCACAGGTTTCCCAGGGTGGTCGGATGCATGCTAAGCTGGGCAGGAGCACACCAGCGTGGGCACAGGGTAGTTCACTGCATGAAGCTACTGTCTAAGGTGTATGCTTCAGTCAGTATGTAGCTGGCATCTGGATGATTCTTTCTTAAGGTGTTTGAACACAAATGGATGTTCATTGTCAGTTTAGCTCTTTGTGGGAACTCCAGAGAAATTGAAGGCATTTTGTTTGCTCTTAAATGAG